TAAGCAAAGCATCGAGTGTTATATAGTACTTTTATCCTTTTACGTTAATATTATTTAAAATTGATCACACGTCCATGAGTAACAAAACAATAAAGCTTTACAAATTATAACATTTATTATTACCTAGTATATAAATTATGTTTCAACTTGGCTGGCTTTCTATACGATGATACGAATTTAAAAAAAAAACAGTGTTGAAAATAAGTTGAAAACATTATAGTACTGAGAGAACCAACCCCTGCAAAATTAATCAAATTATCTTGTTTCCATTAAATGTAAACATAACACTTTGTAAACGAAAACCCCTTTATAAATTATCCGTACCGCACGATTAATACTTTTACAAAATTAATTTTTTTTTTAAATCACAACTCCTTAGCTTTTTCTTTACTTTTAGTAAAACTTTCTATAGCTTTGAAACATTGTTTTAATGTATTAATTTTTATTATTGACTTTTGAATAACTCGAAGTAACAGATCATTAAAACAAGCCTAGTTCGCGAATAGTCAAGAATTAATACTTTTACAAAAAATTTTTTTTTTTTTTAATCACAATTCCTTAGCTATTTCTTTACTTTAGTAACACTTTAGCTTTAAAACATTTTTTTAATGTATTAATTTTTATTATTGACTTTTGAATAACACGAAGTAACAGATCATTAAAACAAGTCTAGTTCGCGAATAGTCAAGAATTAATACTTTTACAAAATTAATTTTTTTTTAAATCACAATTCCTTAGCTTTTTCTATGTATAAACGTTTATAAAATTCATAACTGATCATTTATGCAACGTGATAATACGTTTTATAATAAAAATTATATTTTCAAAAATCTGATGTATAAACGTTGACACCATTTTTTTTCGATAATTCACAGATTTTTTTAAATGGATTTTTCTCTCTGAAAAGTCCTTTACTGCGAGGTCTAGAGATGAAAAATTAAGCTGGTTAGTTGAATTAAAAGAGGCTGTTAAGTCTCCGATAGAAAACAAATTCGGTGAGCATTTTTAAAATTCAATTTTCTCCTTCTAAAAATTAAAATGATTCAGCGAGAAAATTTACATTTTGACTTTAAAAAACCCTCGTTCCCAACACATTTAGTAATGCAAGACATTAATCGTTCAGAAAAAATCAACTTGATATAGAAGTATTTGAAATCCATTTACGTTTTAGTGGTCAATTGAAAACTTCTTTCAATTAATTATTCTTTTTATGTAAGGTCTTGGTTGAGATGGGTGGGTTTGAATCCCGATTGTGACACTGGCGTTTTTATCTCAACCAAGACCTTACAAAAAAAGAATAATTAATTGAAAGAAGTAACTTGGTCAATTGACCACTAAAACGTAAATGGATTTCAAATATTTCTAATTGAAAGAAGTATTTGTAATATTGTCAACTCAACATTAATTTTTAAGATATTTAAGAATCAGAGCTAATTATCTTTAACTCTGATAGATAAGGGAGATAAAATCTATATTTTTTAATTCAATTATCAATAATACATATTAATTTGATAAGTCATGTCAACAACAATAACTTAGAACAGTATAATTATAGAATAAGCTCAGAATGAATTATTGAATTCAGAAGCTGTTTTAATAAGCAAATCCTTTTTTATGTGCTTTTCTCTTAACATAATCATTCCTCCAACCAAATATTTTTCCTACTTATCGTTTTTTGTATACATTGTTTCTATAGTTTTACCTCGTTAATTTGATTTTAGTTCAAACATTTAACTAATTTAACGGAGGATCAATTATTAAATATGTTTTCTTATGTGAACAGTTAATATTTTCGTTTCAGGAACCTTTTGCAGTTTCTGGATAAATATAAGAGTTAGTTTGAATTCTGCAATATAATTAAAGATAATCATTGAAAATCATGAAGTTATATCACTAGATGTCAAGTCATAGTGTTCCATTGCCATTGGGTACGTACTTTCAACAAGATATAATGACTTAATAATGATAATCTGTTGGAATTGATCTTGCGAATTCTTGAGGTAACTAAATGTTTTTAATAATTTTTAATAATTTAATACAAAGAGCGTTTTTACGGCCAAAAAGATTGAGTAGCTATGGTAGAACGTTTGGTGGCAATATTAGCAGATTTGGTGATCAATGACCTACCTCTTGGCCTGGATGGCCAGTACATTATCTTACAATATTAAATTCATGAAAAAATTTGTAGAAGAATGATCTTAGCAGATAAAGAAATAAAAAAACACCTTAGTGATCATACCACCCAAAACAAACAAATCCCATTTCTGGACATTCTCCTCATTGGTGATAAAAATAATAGTAACGAAATGGTACTGAAAGTCAACCTCAATAGACAGAATTATCAAGTACAACTCTGTTCACTCTTTCAAATTAAAAATAAACTTAGCCTTAGAAACCCTTGACCTTAGAAAGAATCTATAAGCTGGCATCTTCGAAGTCTCACATGGTCTGTGAGAAAAAAGCGAGAGATATCTAACTACGTAACCAATTTCCAGTAGGTTTAATTAATTAATTGAAGGAAGAATTGCTACAATACATAGCACAGAAATTAGATAAGTTTGACTTATGACTGAAATATCCCATAAAATTTCAAATTAAATAAAAAACATCTATTAACAGTGTAATTAATATAGTGTATAAAAACACAAATAACATAAAGAAGATGTTTTGCTGAAGTCTGAGGAGCGGTCAAGAATGAGGTACTTTAGAAAATGACCTTTTTATTTTCTTGCCTTCGTTTCGACCTTTATTCCGGTCATCTTCAGGGCATAAAGCGTGGTGCTATTCTTGTGGTGTCATATTGGTTTGTTTATGGAGAGAAAAGACATATGGCACCACAAGAATAACACCACTCTTTATGCCCTGAAGATGACCCGAATAAAGGTCGAAACATGGGCAAAAAAATGAAAAAGTTGTTTTCTAAACTACCTCATTCTTGACAGCCCCTCACGACGTCAACAAATATGAAAGAACAGGTCACTAAGAAACGCAAATAAAAATTATCTTTAATCAAATTTAAAATCTACTCTACCAATAACGTCAAGGACAAACTTAATACAATCCATAGAATAATTCTCTGTAGAGTTTGCCCACTGAATTACTATGGACAAATAATTCTTAAGCCAACATGACCTTGACTGTACGCAGAAACAGCTGAAACTCCTTTGTCAAAACATTCTCTAAAAGGAGGCTTTTCCTTTGACTAAAGTAAAAATAATGGACTTGATAAAACAAGGAGGTCGTCGAATGATGAAAGAAATGCTCTACATTAAAGAAGATCCCAAACTCTTGAAATAACTGTTGGCAAACAGGGAAAGAAGATAACCGAGTAGTCTCTAGTTAAATATACAGGGTGTCTTTTTTAACTAGCCCGACTAATTTCTCTTGAACCAATGGCGCTATAAAAAAAATGTTTAATATTTTTTTAATCTAGTTTCAAATTTTTACCTCATTGTGGAGAAAAATAATACAGGGTACCTCAGGCCCAGTTCAACTTCAAAATAACGTATACGGCCTACTATTTAAAGGATTTTTTACACTGAAAAAAATGGTGTAATCGGATTTTAAATTGGTGAAAATTTAACAAAGTTGTGGTAAAGAGAAACCAGCAGGATAATTTCGACGAGGAGCTGAATATTTTACTATTTGTCCGCAAAAATCCGAATTCTTCTCTCTGAAATGTTGGCAGGATTTAGGTTTTTCAAAAAATAAAATTAGAGATGTACTTCAGACTTAGAATTTTAAGCCGTACCGCTATCATCTTGGACTTCGGGACTCTGATTATAACAGGCGTCTAACGATCCGTACACAAATGTCGATTCGGGAGGCTGAGCAAAACCTTCTTCCAAACGTCCAGGACTGATCAATCCAAGTTCACTTTTAATGGCGCACTAAACCGTTTGAATTTTCGAACGTGAGCAGAGAAAAATCCGAAAATTTAGTACTCTTGTCATCAACAGGTGGTTCAAAGTATAAGTTTTGTGTGGACTTTTCGGAAATAAATTAATTGGGCCTTATTTCTACGAAAATTATTTAAATTTAAATGGTCAGTTCATCATTTTTTGAGGGAGGTTTTATCAATACTATTAGATGATGTTCCTCTGCAATAACAGCAGTAGTTGTGTGATTAATAAATAACCAAAGGGCTGTTTTTTTCAAACCTTTTGCCATAACTTTGTCATTTTTGACCAGTTTAAAATCCAATTGTACCATTGTTTTCAGCTTAAAAATCCTTTAAAATTATATGTCAGGATGTATAGGGTGGTATTTGAAATTTTGAAGTTGAATTGGGCTTTATACCTTATATAATTTTTCTACAAAAAAAAGGTAAAAATTTGAAACTAGACTTGAAGTTTTTTAGTTTTGAAATATTAAACACGTATTTTTTTCTGTTTGTAGCGTCATTGGAAGAAATTAAGCCGGGCTGGGCTTTCTAAAAAAGAACACTTTATATAAAAACAAACAGAAAATAGCCAGAATCCAAATTAATTAAAAGTTAGTTTTTCTTTTATTGTTGTAATTTTGTATATTTATTTATTATTAAAGTTAAGGGTAGTTAGTAAATAATATGCCACTCATTCGGTGCATTATGTTTGACGTCATTACGACATGTTAAATTTAAATTTGTAAATCTATCCTCCATCCTACCTGTAAGTATTCGATTGTTTTTAATGAATTGAAACATTGTAAATTAATCAGTTTAGTAAATTAATATTCCAGAGGAAGACAGCATAGATGGTCGAAAACTCGAACAAAAGGGAATAATTGTAAAATTTTCCGGGGAAAAGGATCTCAATCCCGATCCCAACATATTTAAGAAATCGAGTCAACAAAGGTCGATAAAACTCTTCACAACGATATGAGTATAAAGGTTTAGTGATGAAAATAACTCAAGGAAAAAGTTTGTCAAAATTATCAGTTTACTTCGTAACAGAGATTTATTCAATTATTATGTAAGTTAGTTATTATGTGCAATAAATAAAATAAGGAAGTCATTGTACCTCGCAGTGCTCAACAGGTTCGTGGACGTGCTCGTAATGCTGCTGCAAGGCAGGTTGGTTGTGGTGATGATGATGGACGACAGGCTCGTTGTGATGGTGCAAAACTGGCTGGTGGTACAGGGTTTTCTCATCGTACTTATGCTGTTCCGGAACCAGAGGAGTGCCGGACTTTTTGACGACGGCAGTAAAGCCGTGATCCTTATCCGCGGTATAATGCACTTCTCTGAGTGTGCCGTCTGCTTCTTTCAGCGAATAATGACCCTTGACGACGCCCCCTTCGACAGTCTCTTCATGGCTTTTATGGTCTCCGGTGTGATGATCGTCGACCACGTACTTAAAGTTGTAGACCCTCGGCTCCTTAACATTAAACAGAATTGAGTTTCGACTATTTCGTTTTTATACCGTTATTATCAAGTAATCTGCAGGTAATAGAAACGTTAATCTCGGGGCATCCTTGAGAGGGTAAACCAGATTTACGCTTTTGACTTTTATCCCTCAATAAAGCACGCACTCCGTTAGCAATCGTCAAAGTTCAGGCATGACCTTGTCTCTGCGCAGGGAAAGCAATTTGACGTTGGCAATTCATGCAAACGACATTATTTCCGCCACTCAAGTAAAATATATATATTTTTAATTATAAAAGATTTCAGGTTTTAAGTTTACCTGAAGAAAACACCATAAATAGTCGAAAGCTGGAACAAAAGGAAATAATTGTACAATTTTCCGGAGAACAAAAAGCCCTGAAAATAATAATAAAATAAGAAAATATTTATAACCTTATATAAATATTTTCTTGCTTATTTGATTGCATCCTGAATGCATTGTTGATATTTAATCAGAAATAAATATTGTAGTATTTTTTTCACAACATCAACGATCCTACGCGTCCAATGTAATAATTAATTAATTGAGGTGGTTACTACACTGACAGGCAAAAATTCCAACCAATTGATTTTTGAACCTTTTTAAAAAGATAGTTCCTACTCCCAGTAAGTTGTTTTGCCCGATCCGGATTTCGATCCCTTAGCCCATCATCAGGTTGAAGGAGTTCTATCATTACAATTAAGTTGGTAAACCCCTCTTAACTTACTTGTAATGATTGTGATATTAAATATATAGGACAAATCGGTAGAGAAATAAAAACGAGAGTTAAAGAACACTTGCCAAACTCGAACAAATTTTCGGAATTTAAGGACCATCTAAAAGAAAATTCAAATTTAAATACAACAGTGTTGCATAGTTTCAACAAAGGGAGAGAACTAGATTGGTTTGAGAAATTTGAAATTAAAAAATGTAAAAATTGAACATGGAGATAAATTGATTAATAATATAATAGATTATCATTTACCTCCCATTTTAAATATGTACATAAATAATATTAAACGTCCAATTAATTAAATTAATTGTTATTATATTTATCATAATTTAATAATATTAAGGTATTATTCTATTTTTTTATATTTTATCTTTAATCACTAATTATTCAGATATCAACTATCGATTAACGGTCACTAATCTCTACACATTTAATCACTAATTTTTAATTATTTTCTCACAGTAATTTCTATTATAGATATAATTCCCGATTTTCGCACGTTCAAATTGAGCGCCAATAAAAACCAGCTTCTCATTAGAACGTCGCATTCGCGGTGGTATCGCCGGGTTCACTTTTGCAGTTCTTGTCAAGAGACGTGGTAGAACTCCTTCAACCTGATGATGAGCTAAGGGCTCGAAATCTTGATCGTTGCAAAACAACTCATTAAGAGTAGGAACTATCTTTATCAACAGGATTGAACACCACACACACTCCACCATTCATCATTTCTATCAATTGATTTTTTTTTCATTTTCTCGACAATAGAAAATTCTGCTCTTAAATTGTCTCATTGTTTGTTTCAATAAATAATTGTTTATGATGTGTTTTTCAATTGGGAATATCAATTAGAGATAAATACATATAATCCTGATCCAAAACAAGGATAAATGATTTTTCAATGTTTACTTTTAATGGAATTTGAAATGTTTATTCAGTCTCATTTGAATTCTGAAGCAATAAACTGTTTCAGTTATATCCTTGTTTTCTTCACTTAAATTTTTAAACTTAAAAATGCACTTAGTGCTGAGGATGTTGCGCGTGGTGATGGCCGTTCCATCAAGTATGCGGCTATTGCCTTCGGAGTTCTTTACGAAACTCGGCGAGACGCCGTTTGACGTTTTCGTGAAACTGGGTCTACCATAGAAAACCCGGTTCTGGACGCCCTAGGGTAACAGAACCGCAGGATGACCGTTTTGGACTTTGAGAATTTGGCGAAACCGGCACTTTACTGTTGTTCAAGAGATTCATCAGCTCCAGGAAGTTCGAGGTGTCCAAATTTCTGAACGCAATGCTCGAAGAGGATTAAATCAGTATGGACTGATGGCTTTTCGCGCCGCAAGAAAACAAGAAATGACCAGAACACACGAAGTTGCACAGCTCTCCATTGGTCTTTGGACGATTGGTCCTCTGTACTTTTTACAGATGACTGTAGATTTGCTCTACGATATCCAGATGGGAGTGAAAGAGTGTGGAGAAGGCGAAATGAAAAGTACGAAGCTTATAATTTTTCCCAGAGCCAACCTTTTCAACATAACCCAGTGATGATGTGGGCGGGAATTTCAATTGACAGTCGCATAGTGGTTGTTTGTGGATGGTCTTTGACGGCCACTCGCTACGTGGTTGAAATTTTGGAACCTCTTGCGTGCCCACCTTCGATGAAGTCAGCGACAATCCTAAAAGTGGGTGGAATTTTTTGTGTATTATAATTATTCAATTGTTGTCCACTGAATATCTGCTTTGACAGGAAATTATGATAATAAAATTAATTGTTGACAGGAATAAAAAATTCAATATTACCATTATGTAAATCCAGTTTAACATAATGCATAATAGTATTATTTCTTTTTTAAAATATTAAAAAATTGATTAATTTATTAAATCTATAAAATAACGTAGGGTGACATTTATTAAAACTTAAATTACTTTTAAGTATTATTGAATATCCACCATTAGTGCACGGTAAAAATTGGCATTATCAACAAAGAGCGAGAATTGTGAAATTTTTCTTTGGCGTGTGCGGGGTGGCGAACCTGTAATTAGGTCATTACTGATAATTCTGGTTTTCCCATCGTCGACATCCTCGAGAGGAAGGAGCAAGAAGTGGAATTTGAAGTTCCAACTTCAACTGTGATTTATGGACTGTGGTATCCTGAGGGGTTAAAACAAGCCCTTTGGTCAGACTGATCCTCCTACCTAATATAATAATAATAATAATAAGTTTATTGCACACAAGAAGAAAAAAGAAAAATTACATATAATTCAAACAAGATAATAAACTTAATACGGCAAAGTAACCGTCTGCCGGAGCTTGGATTAATTATTGACTAATCATGTAAAATAAACGTACAAATGCATTTAACTAAGTCTATTCTAAGTGTAACATCTATAACAAAATACCAAATCAAAAGGACACAAAACTGAGAATTAAAAATCAATGAGCGGAGCTGAGACCGGAGAAACAGAAACACCAAATATCAAGGGAAAGAGCGGGGGCAAAAAATTGGGAGTAAAAGAGAAGAAGAGAGAAGAATTATTAATTAAATTCGTTTACTATTAGCCTTCGATAGGCCCAGGCCGCTTTAGCATAATTCACCAAGTCTGTCCAATCTGGTCCGTTGAGCAATCTGATGCATCTGTCCATTGATACGGTTCTTTCGCCGAACGCAGATAAACGGTAGGGGGACAGAATCGGGCATTCCGCGAGAAAGTGGTATATGTCTTCCTTTACCCGGTAATTACATAACCCACACTCCTGTTGGGTGAGGAGATCATACGGCTTATGTCGTTGGTTCAGCAATTCTCCCCTCAGTTTCAGGATCCAACGTATGTCTGTATTTTTCTTATTTGTCTTTTGGTCCTCAACCAAGCTGGCACATCTGATTCCGTGATCCAGCATCCTATATATACGGTATCGACGGGAAGCCTGCACTCTCTCTATGTTGCTCACCATAATACTATCTTTCAGTCGATTAATAATTGACTGGAGTTGAAGAGAGAGAGCCTTACTCTCGGGTTGCAAAAAGGACCTAATATAAAAAGAATATCAACAAAATAATAATTTTTTAACAAAACATAGCTACCATTAGAAGTTAGAATATATCAGAATTATTTTATAATATTATTACTTATTGATAAATATATACGAATTCACACTGTTCATTGGAAAGATTATTTGATATATAAATTGATGAGAAAGTGTGCAAATAATGGGTCATCGGTGCTGATGAAGTTTCTGCTTTTATAACCTCGTAAAATGCGATATTATATCAGCCCATAGACCCAACTCTAGATTAACGGTCTATAAATGTGATATATTTTTGCGAAAGATATATATTAGTCACACTACTGGGTTCGCCTTTTTATTATTACTATTATTTCTTTTTCTAAAATATGAATGTTAACGAAGATGTTTGTGTTGTTCTTGTGTTTTTCTATTAAATTCTATTATGAACTTTTTATCTTCATGACGAAAGAACTGTGTTTGAATTTCTAGTTGATGTTTTTTTTTTAATACAAAAGTTTTAACTACAAAGCGGACTGCTTTCCTTGACCCCAAGGTATTCGAACACTGATTTGTAATGGAAGTTCATTAAATCAATTTCAATTTTCAAAATCAACCTTTTTGGCTCATAAAAAATGTACATGTATTGTACACACCTAGTTGTTCTAATCAGCATATTAGTTCAAAACTACAAATACACTGAGAAGCAAAAAATTGGCTACGCTTGTAATTTTAATTGTCACTTAGACAATCCTCTATTGATTATCGTACAAATTTGGTCCGTTCTAAAAGATTAAAGGTAACTAAAACACAGATAAATCTCCCATTTGTGTTTACAATTGGTTTGTACATAAATCTTTGAATAGTCAATCACTTGATTATTGGTTTCCCTGTAAAGCTCTTTTTAATGTTCCGATGGTTTGATTTGTTTTACTTGCTCAAGTTTTAAGGTTCAAATGTGAGGGATGGTTTTCAGTGAAGCAGACAAGTGTTTATGGACAGGGTGCCATCCACCTCAAAACTACTGCCCGAAAGGTCTTTCATGCTGCCAAGATACTGGTAATTACGCAAAAAGACATGGAGCGTTACATCCGAGAGAAATGATCGGTTTTTTTTTTTTTGCTGGGGCTTTCGACATCTAGGTCATTTCAGCCCCAACTAAGTCTATATTCTATACCCGTTCAAACACTACATTCATACAAATAAATGCATTCATACACTTAAATACATCCAAACAGTACACTCATTCTGTTTGGTCGGTGGAGTACTTGATATTCCTCTAACCGAAATATACTTAAACTAAACTAGATTGGGGTCGATGGGGTACTTTTATAAATATTCCGCCATTGACCCCGAACACACACTCTTACGCTCTCATCGTTCGAGGGGTGATGATGACGTTATATTTCACCTTCACCCCTCGCCATTCACGCTAATAAATACATGCACAGACAAAACATAAACACACAACAAATAAGACCTACTATATACAATAAAAAAACACAATTTCCCCTAAAAAGCGGAACAGGGGACTCTGAAACGCGCTACTGTGTTCGAGGACTCTTCTTAAGTTCGGCGGCATGCCTACACGCTCTCTGTATGGAGCCAAGGCATGACACGCCTCTATTATGTGGGACACATCGAGCAACCTTTCTCTGCATAAGGGGCACCTGCGCGGGCTTTGGCCCAAAAGCAGGTGCCCATATGTCAACCGCGTATGGCCAATCCTCAGTCGGGTGATCCCTCGTCTCCTACTCAGATTCTCTGAGGGCCATCTACCGGTCTTGCTCTTCACTCGCAAGAGCCTCTCCGACGACCCCGCCCACTGACGCTGCCATCTTTCTTTTATCATATTTTTAACTGCGTGTTTAGCGTCAGGGGGCCTGATCGCGATGGTCCGATCCGGAGGGTGGGACTTACCGACTTTCGCCGCCTCATCCGCGCTCTGCGTTTTGTTATTGTTTCGAATGTTCTACGTAATCGACATTCTACTGCTGTTGAGATCAAGCAACGACTTCAACAAATTAGAAATGGTAATATCAGTTTATTTACTGTAAGGGGAAGACTTTCAGCAGCTGGATTTCGTGCGGTGCTCCAGAATTTCTGACAAGGCACACAACAGCTCGGTTAAGTTTCGCAAGAAATCACATCAATTTTGCTCAAACTAATCTTGGACAAAAATCTTGTTTTCGGATGAGTCAAGGTTTCGTTTAAGGTCATCTGACGGCCGAGAAAGGGTTTGGAGAAGAACAGGGAACGTTATATCCTTGCAATATTTTCACTTCTATTTCAGTACTATAGAATCTATGGAGGTGGTAATGTTACCATTACGTTCAAAAACTTATAAAATCGATGCACTGGCAAAGCGAATGCAAATGGTGATCAACGCAATAGGAGGAAATACTCCATATTCTTCATTGTTTCCATATCATCATTTCTGGTAAAATGTTTCACTCAGCTCGGTTAAGTTTCGCAAGAAATCACATCAATTGGTCTGAGAAGATTGGAATAAAATCTTGTTTTCGGATGAGAATTTCATACACAAAATTTCACTCCGGAGAAGCTATGGAGGTGGTGGTGTTATGGTTTGGGCAGGCATTACTTTGGAAGGTCGCACAAAAGTGATCTTAATCGAGGGTTCCCTAACAGTTGTGCCATACATTGAAGATATGTGATCGGAGGTTGTTCCTTCTGTGCTAATAATTTGCGACGGCTTTATTTTTATGCATGACAAGGCAAGCTCCCCCCCCCTAGAAATTTTAACGGCCAGCATGTAGTCCTGCCTTGAAGCCTTTCGAACACGTTTGGGTCTCCAACAAGTTGACAAAGAAGGTACAACGTCGCCCAGTGATACCAGAGAATTCGCCGGGATTAAGAAAGGCGCTGTTGGATGAGTATGAAAATATTGCACAACAGTACAATCCAAAACTCATAATGCCGATGCCATATAGAATGCAAGCGGTAATCCCCACAAGAAGTGAATGAATTTGAACATTTTTGGTAAAATTCTTATACTCAGTTTTATTTTTTTTAGCCACATCTTACATTTAAATAATACCAAGCATTATCTCAAATATCATATCCATTAATGTACTTAAGTCCTGGGTTTGAATTCCGGCATAGTACATGCAATTTTAATTGATAATCGTATCAAAAAGTAGTTTTAGTGGTTTGACCCCTCGTCAGCTACACTCAGTTGGACGCTAAACTTCCTGTATGACAGGAATTGCCTAATTTTCTTTATTGTGCTCTAAAGATGTCTTGAACTAATAATAATATTGGTTAATACAACAGAAAATGAAGTGTACAAGAATTATTTAACATAGTTCATAAATGCTTAAAAAAAAAAAAATAAANGGAAAATTCAAAAGGAGAGGTTGAGATGGCAAGTTAGTCCGAGTGGATCGAACTCACGATAGCTCAAGTGGTATAGCAGCGGCGTGTTTGGCCGAAGGTCGTGGGTTTGAAACCCGCTTGTGACACTGATTTTTTTATTTCAACCAAAACCTTAATTAAATATTAATTAATTTAAAATAGTTTATAAACTTCCAATTAGTTATTCTTTTTATGTAAGTTCTTGGTTGAGAAGAAAAAGCTGAAGTGAAACGAGCGGGATTCGAACCCACGACCTTTGGCTAGCTTTTTCTCTCATCCCACTCAAGACCTTACATAAAAGGAATAATTAATATGGTGAATTAGACCACTAAACATAAATGGATAGTTTATAAACTTTCAAATGACTAAATCTGGTGACTTCAAAGCTTTATATTGCTTTACCTTCTAGTACAGTGATATCTTTAATCATTTTCCAAAAATGAAAGTCGTTTAGTCAAACAGCTGTTCTCCTTGAATGAAAATGAAGGTCCTTTTTATCATCCAATCACTTTTGTCTAAAAAGAACTCACATTATCATTTAGGTAAGGATAAATTAGGAAAAAGGCGATCAATAGTTCCTTACGAAGTTGCTCTCCCAGGAGAGATAAGGTACAAATATGCTCCTTTCACGGCAAAAATCGTCCCGTTATCACTCCAGTTGGGAAAGAATGAGTGCATTTGACGGGAATACACTCTAAAATCGAAATAAAGGAATTTTTATAAGGAATTTTGAAGGCTTGGCCCTCATGTGTAAAATTATAATAAAACAAATACATTCTGGAAAAGCGGAGATGCTGACATTGGCAGAATTTACAGAACAATCTTTCGATTCGATTCAAAGTACCTATACTCATCGATGATAGATGATTTCTAATATTAATAATCGATATATCGATAGTATTTGCGATAGATTTTTTTATCAATTAACAGATTGATTCAAAAGCTAGATTTGTAAATAGAATAATAAAAAACGATAAAATAATTTGTAGTGTATAAACATATAATTAAGTTATAATATTTATATAAATTAGTAAAATGAAAGTTGATTGCTTTTTTATTTACATGTTAATTAAGAAATCATGAACATAATATTATAAATTAATTAAGGTTTTAAGTTGAGATAAAAAAGTCAGTGTAACGAGCGGGATTCGAACCCGCTTCAGCTTGATACGCCACTACTAACTTGAAGTAACGATAGCTCAAGTGGTAGAGTAGCGGCGTATCAACCAGAAGATCGTGGGTTCGAATCCCGCTCATTACACTGACTTTTTTATCTCAACTAAAAACCTTAATTAATTGTCAGATATTAATTGGTCAAGCGGACCACGAAAACTAGTGAATTTAATAATATTATAAATTTTCAAAATTTTGCAGATAAAAAGCGGATTGTGTTGGGTACTAAATAAAACAATATTCTATTTATGACAATTAATGAGCTATCGTGAACTCAAGTGGTAGAGCAGCGGTGTATCTAGCCGAAGATCGTGGGTTCGAATCCCGCTCGTGCCATTAACTTTTTTTCATCTCAACTAAAACAAAGCCCTAATTAATTGTCATGTATTAATTGGTCAAGCGGACCACGAAAGTAGTGAATTATTTATGTTTTAGTGGTCAATTGACCGCGTTACGTCTTTCAAGTAATTATTCAGTTTATGGAAGGTCCTGGTTGAGAGAAAAAAGTCAGTGTGACGAGCGGGATTCGAACCCACGACCTTCGGGTAAATACACCGCTGCTTTACCACATGAGCTATCGTGACTTCGATCCTCGGGTTCGAATCCCGCTCGTGGCACTGAATTTTTTATCTCAACCCGGAACTTGCATAAAAGGAATAATTAATTGAAAGACGTAACTTGGTCAATTTACCACTAAAACATAAATACATCAATATTTAATAAGTAAAAGAAGTATCACTTCACTAAACAGCTCCCCATGGCCACTTCATAAGTTGCTTAGAATCCAATCCTGATTACATGACTTTTGAAAATGGCAAAAAGAGGGAAATTTGAACGCTTGAAGTTTGAGATGGAGAGTTGGTGTCCGAGATTGAAGTGAGTTCGAATCCCGGGTTTTTAAGGGCAGACTATATCTCTTCAATTTGTTTAAAAATATGGTTAAATTTTTAAAACTCAATTTGACAATTTTTTGAGAAAATGTTTCCTGGAATTTGACTTACCTCTTTTTCATGCTCTTCTTCGTCCTGTTCAACAGGAAGTGATGCTACAAACACGAGAAAAGCCGCAGAAGCGAAAACGACCTGAGGAAAAAAACTAATAATAATTGAAACTCACTCCAACAAGTCCAAACAAACTCGAATCACCTTTTGTCCGAACATGTTGGTGATTTGGAATGACTCCTATCGCCTCCGCATTCTTTTATACTCAGCCCGTATACGGTTCGTTTAACACAAAGTGTAATAATTTTTAATTATACTTTTTTATCTCGAAACCTGTAATTGACTATTGATGATACCGACGATGTACGACCTCCTCACAAGGCCTCGGAACAAAAGCGGGATAAAGGAAATATGATCTCTGCTGAGATATTTCCATTGAAATGGATGAAAGAACATAATAGAAGTTCTGAATGCTCTTAGATACGAGCTGGAGTACTTAACAGTAATACGCTTTAACTTGAGTACGATTCTAACTTAACAATAGTAAGTAATTTTGTAATACCTATAACATTTAAAAATAAGGTCCAATAAATAGATTCTGAGCATACATATCCAATTTTGAACAATAATTTTCTTCTTTTAAACAGAACTTTATTTTGCCTTTGTAAAATAGGCGAAATTGAACAAAACATCTTAATAATTCTTCAAATGATTTAGCAAGCTATATATATGAACACTTCAGGTTTTTATTAAATTTATTGTTTATTAATCTATGTTTGTATCTGTTAATCACGTAGGTAAAATATAAAATCAATAGTCTTACACATTTTTTACTGATTCATATTAATAAAATGGTACCTCTTCTCTCTCTGGGTTATTAGAAAAAAAGGGACCACAAAGTTTATGGTGCGCTATCGATGCGGTTCAACATATTCATGGTAAAAAATTAGTAAAAATAGGTTTTGGAAACAAACATGTCTACAAGCATTAGAAAAAAAATTTAAAAAATATCCATTTTGTCTATCATCATCATTATAATAAGCATAATTATTCAGAAATCGTGAGATGCGGTCTGGTGTGATGTAGGTTTCAGAAAAACATGTTCTTTATCGTGCCAACGTTTCGATCTTTATTGAGCCCTGAAGATGATCTCAATAAAGATCGAAACGTTGCCACGACAAAGAAAATGTTTTTATGAAACCTACATCACAGCAGACCGCATCTCATGATTTCTGAATAATTATCGATTAACGGTCACTAATCAGCACACATAATATACACTATACACATATACACATAATATACATTATAATAAGCATTAAAGTGAATACGATTTTAACTTAACGAAACTCCCTTTTGCTTGTAATTTAGAAATACGTTTATAATACATATAATTTAAAAATAAGGCCCAATAAATAAATATTCTGAGCATACATTAGCAATTTTGAACAATAATTGTCTTTCTTTTAAACAGAGCTTTATTTTGTCTTTGTAAAAGAGGCGAATTTGGAGAAAACATGTTAATAATTCTGCAAATAATTCAGCAAGCTATATAAATGATCAATTCCATTCTCCAATGCTATTCAACACATTCCAGGTAAAAAATGAGTAAAAATAGATATTGGAAACAAACGTGTTTATTAACTTTAGACAAAATTAAAAAATAATCCTTTTTGTCTATCATCATCATCATCATCATCATCATCATTCATTTTATTAATAATTTCACTGGAAGATTGCAATCTATAATTTCAACACAATTAGGCTTAGTTTGGTTAATTTTTCTACTTAAGGTTCAAGCAGATACTAACAATATATTGTTACATTTTAAAAGCATATTCAAAAATTCAAAACACGAAATAATCCCTGCGTTTGTCATAAATTATTATCTATTAGGAAAAATAAAAAACGTAAATATTAAAAACAATTATGGCCATTATTCTTCATATAATAAAAGGTGTGACGAATTAGTAAACCAAGTTTTATACATTATTTTTAAATTTCAATTAATTATACTTTTTATCTAACGTCATGGTTGAGATGAAAAAGTTAGTGTCGTGAGAGGGATTCGAACCCGCGGCCTTCGGCTCAATATGCAGCTGCTCTCACCACTTGAGTTAAAAACTATCTAAGTATAAAAAGTATTAGTATAATTGAAATAATTAAATAGGTCAAATTATGACCGCTAAATATATACGTATTATTATAAGATACAGCATGTTAAAATAAATTTTAACAAAGAATACAATTTAATATTTCTTCAGTAACGAAAGTTAGCCTTTAATAATTAAGGTAGTTTTTCTAATAAAACTGGCATACAAATCCATTTGCTATTTATGAAAATCTATATTTCCAAAGATTCAATTCACTTTTAAAATATGTGAGTACACATGTTTTATTTTACATTCTATAAGGTCATGTTTTTCCCCTCAGTTACTGCAGCGAGGTTTGCTACGACACTGGTCGAATTTATGTCTAAAACGGAAACAATTTAAACATTGACGAACTAATGGAGTTTCAGGCCTTTTTATTCCATAGATCATTGTATGATATGGTAGTTTTTTTTACTGTAAAATTCTATTAAACATGTTGGTACAATGATTACAATAGTTCTTAAAGGGCGCAGTATAAAGTGCACCCTGACTAATCCAGAATTTTGTTTTTAATGTATTCAGTTTACGCTAAGGGATTGCCAAATTTAATTTTTATTCGATTGGAGCTGATATGTTTGTGATGTTCTTTTTACGCGAAATATCGTATTTCCCATTTTAAATAGTTTGCTAACATTTCCTACAGAGTTGTCTATAAATAAATAGTAATAGGGATTTTGATCAGTGTTTCTGCTATAATTTCGTTGTAGTTGTTGCAGTCCCTCTAGGTTTATATTTATGTCAGGGAGGAGTATTGTAAGTGTAGAGTGAAAAGATATTTCCTTGTGCTATGTTATGTACCCCTGGTCGTTTTAAAATTGAACTTTCCATTTGTTCCAGTCCATCAGATTTTCACCCGTGTTGCCTAAGAAAGCATGGGTTTTTACAATTTGCTAGTGGTTTTACATGCCAATTATTAGATTGAATAGAATTAAAAAGACTCACAAGTTAACATGTAGGACAAAGATAAACAACGTACAGTGGAACTGGTGAACTGCTTAAGGGTTGAAGCGCGGCTGCAAAAACAAAATAAATATTTTATCTTATTTTGTAAGAATCTTTATGATTGGAATTGCATTTTTATTTACATAGATAAATTAATTAAACATTACACCAAAGAGAGAAGTTTATACTTTAAAGTTTTGGATTAGGAACATCTTCCTACCAAGTATTTTTATCTAATTCAAAAATTACTTGACTTAAGAGTTAGATTTACTATTCAATGAAAACTATATTATCTTATGTTGTTAATATTAATATTGTTATTCTTCTTTATATTTTTTTATTAAAATTTATTTTTTATCTTGACCCACCTTATTCCACAGATTGAGACAACCAAAATATTGGTCTCTTGAATAGAGTGGATCAAGATAAAAACTGTTCAATTATTTTATGTCGTATTATTCTTCATAATTTGCAATACTTAAATTTTTTTTTAAGTTATTGTTAATATGAAAGAATTTCCTATTAATTTGAAACTCTCATAACATGGTGAATGACGATGCAGTTGAATTATTTCTTCAGGGTAATATTCTTAAATTTTTCCTAAAAGAAGTCAAAAAAAGTAAATTGTAAAAACTGATGGGCTCATGCGTTTATACAACATGTCCAGCAACATATTACCGCGTCAATAAATCCATATGTAAGCCAATATAAAAAATACCAGGCATACTTAATAGACTCATACATCTTGACATGTCTAACGGCCGAATTCCTCCCCAGGCCAAACCGACGGTTTTCGATATTCCGTTTTCCGTTCTATTTCAGGATTAATTCCCGTTCAAATATTTTCGTCCCTTTCGTTTTATATGCCGGCCCCTCACGGCTGAATATCAGGGGCATCGTCTACGGACCCATATAAAATCCTTAGACGTTTCAAAAGCCGATAGGTCTAAAGCCTATGTTATAATAACACTTTTAAATAAAAGGGATTTTAACGTATCTATAATGTGGAATATAACGGAAATGTAAATGAAAAATTTGTGACAATAACATAAACCTAAATANCTATCTATCTATCTATCTATCTAGCTATGAAGTCGGTACAGCTATCTATCTATCTAGCTATGAAGTCGGTACAGAAAGACGTTTTTGTGTAAGGGGTCGGCGTCTTTGAGGTGAAAAGAGCCGACGATGGGAAAAAACGTTGGTAATGGTTCGGTCAGATTATCCTTTCAGGATTATATAGACGGGGATAAATAAGAAAAGGAAAGCTAAATTGTTCAAAATTAGACTATGTAAAAATGTTTGATGTGTGGAATGTGATGAATGTTTTATATATTATATTATACGTTTTGTGTGATATCATGTGCTTACTAGAACCTCTGGATGAATATAATCTATAGTCTTAAAGGTCGAACTACACGTGACGAAAATGAAACATAAACATTTGTATCGGGTAATGTTGGCTCGGTAATGATTCGTTGACCTGTTACATTTGGGTGATAGTTTTGAGAATAAAAAGAAAATATTTTCTGACCATTTTCCGCATCAACTTACACAATAAATCACAAATAAATCTAATACTACGAGTTACGAAATTATTCCTTCCAAATTCATCAGTTTTTCGACCCCTGTTACTTTAAATTACATAACCCACGTTTTGAACTTCTCCCTCACCTCATCCTGTTTTCCTACAGCCTGGAAGGAAGTCCTGCTTTACCCAAGAAACCTAAACCCACCCTTGTTAGTGTCTTCTGCGTTATTAGTATTCTTCCATCAATATCTAAAACATTTGAGATGATTTTATTTAAATAAATCTCTTTTTTTATTGACCCCTTTACCGTCATATCCCCTTTTCAATTTGGCTTAAAAAATTTTTATAGTTTTTATACAGCCCTTCTGAAAATCTCAGATGATTTTCGCCTAAATTTTGATGTTAATAAGTGTACTATTATTGTTCTATGTGATTTCTCTCTCTCTCTCTCTCTCTCTCTCTCTCTCTCTCTCTCTCTCTNCTCTCACTCTCTCTCTCCTTTCACTTCACACACAGACGAGCACATATTGTTTGGCTGTCCAAAGCAAGAATCGACACTAGCAAAAGTAACAAAGGAGGTTCTGCCACAAGGCGACAATGGCCAGTAAATCACCAGTGAGTAATCAATATACCGGAAGACCTTCCTGC